AATAAGCTGGAAGTTTATACGCAGGAGCTCCATAATCCAGCATATTATGTGGAACTTTTCGTATGCTGGAGTTCCAACATAATATGCTGGAAGTTTATAGGCATGAGCTCCGTAATCCAGCATATTATGCTGGAACTTTTTGTGTCCAGCAAACTAGTGACTATTTTTCAATGACTTTGCGAACGTTACCTATTTTTTAATTACCAGTCCGAAGACTTGCTAGCCGTGCTATTTTCACATGTTTTGTGACCATTATAAATGTTAGTTTAGTTATGCGACCCTTTTATAGAAGTTCGCTAAATATACTGTAACGTAGAAGATACGTAATTAAATAAAACATGTACAGAAAGATCTTAGTATGGTCATTTTATTCAATTCATACTGTAATTGTATTTGGAAATTAGATTATTTACAAAAAATATATCGGTGTGATTCCACAAGTGAAGCCTGGGGAAGGTGAAGTATACGTAGACCTTACTCCTATCTTATGTGAGCTAGAAAGATTGTTTTCAATAGATTATTTTTTATTTACTAGAATAGTGAGTTTGGACGAATTTAGACTATATAAACTGGGAATAGTAAGTTTTAAATTATAATTCTCACACTTCAAGATTTAGCATAATTAATAACTATATTATAAATTTAGCCTCCAAAAAGACAAAGAATTCTGTATTTGAACTTCTGAGAGTTGCCAACTTAGGTGCACAGTTATTATTACATCCCGAGTACAGTTGAAACATCTCTATGACAGCCGCGTTTGTTTCAATAACTTTTGCATGCTATAATGAAGTGTTGTTATAAAGGACATATAATATAACATAACATAAAAGATTGGTTCTGAAAAAACTTGATTGTTAATGGATGACTGTTATATAGAGATGTTGTTATAGAAAGATTTAACCGTATAAATGTCCTATTTTTTTTTTCCGAGTGAAATCATACAAGTATAATATAAAAAACTCATTTTTAAAAATCTAAGTATAAATGGAAGATAACTAAGATCAAAGACCATATATAACTGTTTAAAGTACCGACTTATAAGCTACATTAAAGAAAAATTATGAATAACATCCTTTGTCCAAAAAAAAAATAGCGTGGCAACTGGAAGGACATTGATGCTTTTATCTTTAAAATAAAATCACATGCTTGAATCAGAACTGTACAAAAAGTATTATAACTCAATCTTTTATAGTTAAAGATATATGAATTTACATAGAATAAAACTATAGTCAGAGATAAAGGTTACTGCGCTATCCATATATAGTGGATCACTGGATTGTCATATTCTTTTCAGAAGATTCTTTCAATTTGCTAGAATTCGTTATTTGAACTAAATTACATCTTGTAAAATCATATTGAAAATTAAACGATACATTATGTACCTTGTTAAAAACCCTGATCTTTATTTATCGAACACACATTGTCTAACCAAATTCAATTCTATACATTAAATGCAGACTACAAAGTGGTTCGAATGTTTAGCTGTTATTATCTCTTACTCCCTCCGGTCCACAACAAGTGACTAATTTACTTTTTTATTTTGGTTCAAAATAAGTGTCCATTTATATAACCAAGAAACAATTCAATTTGTTTTTCCAAAAGTACCCTCATGTGCGTATCCCTAAAAAGTCTTTTATTCCTCGCATTAACTATGCTGCAACATTTAATTAAGGGTAGTTTAGTCATACTAATACTTTAATCTAGAATTTAGTAGAAAGCAAATTAGACACGTATTGTATTGTGGACCGAAAATAGATAGATAAAAGGTTGAAACGGTCGTGTTTATTAATCTGCATGTGGGGAACACATAGGAGTAATAGCGATAGTGGTGTGCTTGAAGGGGAAAAATGGTCCTAGCATGGCCTATACATTTTTGTAGTAATAAAATACTATACTGTAGTTGCTTTCCCACTGTGGAGACCCACTATAAGTAATTTATATTTTGTTTTTAATGTTCATGGATATGGGCCCTTGGAGTTTAAAAGGCAGTTTTTTCCGAACGTTAGAAAGGGGGGGAAGGGAACTTTATCCACACAAAGGGGCGATAAGACAAAAATTCCAAACTTGTATAAAGATTGATCTTTTTAAAAGAAACAAGAAAGTTATTTATGATGGGATGTTGATTTTGCTTAATTTTTGGGCGTAGGCCCTCAAATCATTGAAGAAACAGTTTAAAAGAATGAAATACTGTTTAACCATTGAGCAATTAATAGTAATTCTTGTGTAGAATGAAAAAAGAATTTCTCTAAACGAAAAGTTAGTAGTTAGTGCTATTGTAGTAGTATTTAATTAGTAGATTTCGTTCACGAACTATATAAGATTTGAGAACGTAAACTATATATATATATATATACGGATATATATTGCAACTCACCTACATGAAGCCGAAATTGTTAATAATCGCCGGTTAACCATATGGCAATAAATTCGTTCCTGAGCGTTCTACACAACGCCCGACACATTATGGGGGCTGACTATGCCCGAAATCGTTATCTTCATCACATGCGGAAGACAAAAGGTTAACTATGGCTATGATGAGTGGTTTTGTTAGAATATGCAATAATGGAATTGGTGTTTTCGTAAATCATGATGAGAGAAGGATAATTATACTGCAGCAAACTCTTGAAATTGCAAAGTTTCCAAATAACTATTTTGCACCTTTGATTGTACCTCACCGAAAATCTTGTTATTGCGAATAGTTATTAAAGTCACTTCCTCTGATTGATCTACAGTATCAATATGTTTGGTATTAACATTGTTATTCAAGATGTTGGCAGTAAAAATGACTACAGATTTGGCTTTTCTTCAGCGAATTATTATTATTATTATTATTATATATATATATATATAGGTGATCAGGCAGGACATGGTACGAATGCGGATTTTCGAGGACATGGCCCTTGATAGGAAGGTCTGGAGGTCAAGCATTACGGTTGTAGGTTAGGAGGTAGTAGAACTTTTCTTACTTCTTTCTGGGGGTGAGGCGGGGTTGGATTAGGGTTGGCCTTAGATGGCTTGCAGTTTATGTTGAATACACACTATACTTGCTGTTTATCCGAGCCCCGGGCCTGGTTACTGTTATTGCATGTCATCCATCTTTTGATTGTTATGCTTCTGTTACTATTACGATTTCTATTGGAGTTACCAATGAATTGTCTTTTCTTGTTTTTCTTATTTCCATCTTTTTGAGCCGAGGGTCTATCGGAAACAGCCTCTCTGCCCTATCGGGGTAGGGGTAAGGTCTGCGTGCACATTACCCTCCCCAGACCCCACTTGGTGGGATTTTACTGGGTAGTAGTAGTTGTTGTTGTTGTATAAAGATAGCCAACTCTATTATCAAAGAAATAAGGAAAGGGGCGACAATTTGGCACCAGATATCCGGAGGTGTGGAAGAGCACCTGTGAGAAGCGGAAAAACCATCAAAAAACGACGATTGTTCGTGGAGGTTTCTACAGAAACGACCCCTTGGTTCTGGCAAACGGATCACAATTACAGGTACCTGGGAGCATACCGATGGAATGAACGAAATACGAACAGTTAACATAATATGGTCATAGATCTTAGGTTGTAACTTGATCATGAGCGTAATTTGTTGATGTTGCCACCCCCGACAACCAAAGTAGTGTCCAACAAACCTAAAAAAAATATAACGACGAACGACCAGCCAACGACCCTGCCATTATGTGGTATTTCTCCACACTCTTTCTCCTACCAAACTCCATAAAACATTAGCAAAATAGACAACCCAANTATATATATATATAAAATCCGCTTTAGATACTTTTATTTAATCAATGGTGTTAAATTTGTGATAGGAAGGTGGCACATTTTAGGATAAGGCATGGGAATGATCCCTCTAGCTATGAATTTGGAGAAAACAATCTGACAATTGCTTTTATTAGTAGGCCACCATGTCCAACAGATTTTTGGTTGGGGTATCGCGCCAGAAATTATTTATATCTGGTAGTCGTAAAGGTGTATAAAATTTGTTTAATTTTTTTATATAACATATAGAATGTATATATATACAAAAAAATATAAATTTTATACATTTTTTCGTCTATTATTTTTACAGCAATTATACAATATCATTTTTCCTTTTTAGTTTTACATTGGGGGACTTCTATTTTGTTTGCAGTTTGATGGAATTCTTTTGGTTTAATCCAAAGCCTACTTATTCGATTAATTCTGATTTACACTGGATAGGCCAATTAATATGGCTAAAGCATTCAATCCTCTGCAAGAGTGGCTGTAATTTGTAGCGAGAAACAATTAAGAATATAACTATTAGCTTTTATAATTATTTTATTTTAAAAATTATTTTTTTAAATGCTTTTCAAAAAAGTACTTTTAATAAGCAGCAGTTTGTATTTGGCTAATTAATTTAAAAAGCACTTTTGAGCATTATCGTTTGGCTAAACTTTTAAAGAGTGATTCTAAGTGCAGTTTTTCAAAAATGTATTTTTGGAAAGAAATTATGTTTTTTTGCTTCTCCAAATCTGATTTTATTTCTACACAAATATATTTTTTTTACTTCTAAAAGCTTGTCCAAACACCTTAACTTTGGGAAAAATCACGTTTGACCTGAAAAATTACTTTTTGTTAAAAAGAAACTTGGCTAAACAGGCTATATTTTTTTTCTACACAAATATATTTTTTTTACTTCTAAAAAAAATTTAAAATATATTTTTTAGTTTTTAATTTTATTATTTATCGATTTAAAGGCTCAAAATTTTACAAGTTCCAAAATTATGAGTTCAGAGGTTTATGTNAAAATATTTTCCGGAAAATGTTTTCCACTTACCAACCAAACAAGAGAAAATAAGTGATAAAACCACTCATTTTCCATGAAAACATTTTCTAGGAAAACATTTTCCATGGAAAACATTTTCCTTCGTACCAAACACACCCTTTGTTATTGTTGTTGTTGTTGTTTTTGTCAACTGACGGCATAAATGTTACCAAAACTATATCCAGGCCAGTCCAAGTGATCCAGCACAAAGAAAAAATTACTGTAAAAAATAAACTCACCCACATTGTCTAATTTTCTTTACAAATGCATCTGTTTCTGGAATTACAACATAGAGAGCTAATAGAGTTGATAAAAAATCCAATTTCCATTAGTATAATACACCAGTTCATCCCATTTTTACATTGTGTAGTTCATATCAGAATTTGGAACAGATCAAAGAATTTCTTTAGCTTGTGTAACAGCAAAGACTCTAAGAACAGCACAAGCACACTTCCACAAATATTTCTTTGAAAATTTCCCCTTTTGGATATCTTCAATTTTCAGATTCCAATTCATCAATACAGCTTGTTAAAACCAGCAGGTGCAGCAGAATCACTCAACCTAGGCAAGAATCCTTCCCTCTCAAGTGAAACATGTAGACATGACATTATTTTTACTAATGCTGTCCATGCCACAGGAGACGCGCAAAAGGCGTATGCAAATACAGCTAATGCTCTAACAACACCATCAGAATACCAAGGATAAGCCATGACCAAAAGTGCCCCAAGAATTCCTAGCCATGGCATAAGAACAGGTAGCATTGGCAACAAGAATGCATTCAGTGCTATACATGATAGTGCAAATGAACCTAGTAAGTAGAGACCCCATCCGATTATTGGATGAACTGTCCGAGGTATCAAGAAGAAAGGAATTATGTAGGCTGCAAGAATGGACCATATAGCGATCAATTTCAGTCCTGTTCGTATTAAGAAGATGCTCTTGGTGTCTTCACGTCGATAGCACAATTTAGATAAGTTAGGACGTGCTAGGCGTGTCATTATAATTATTCCAAGGTAAAGTACAGTTTGAATCAGCACAAGTGGCATCTCTGCATCATACCTGCAGAATGACAAACAGGTTAAATTTTGACGAATGCACTTCATCAAGCTCTCAAAATGTTCACTAAAAATGGTGATTTCACTAAGGAGGTGATAACATCAGGGATATGAAGAACGGGAAACTGCTTATTGATATTCTAAAGAGTACAATGTTCAATGTAGGAAAATCTTTGATGTGTAGTCCAAACAAAGGTTAAAGGGAGCGACATGGACAGTGAGAATTCATATACAGACCCCAACTTGCTCAGAATTGAGGCGTAGTTATTTATAGTCCGGACATATTATAAGATAGGATTTTAGTTTTACCCAAGAGTTTGACGTCGCTGTTCATGCCACTGAATGCCCAAAGGAAGAACAGGCCATGACCACCAATACCAAGGTTTTAACCATGGTGCACCAGGGAAAGTAATGACACTATTAGGTCCACATGGTACGGACCAACGTAGTCTGAGATCTGAAAAAGAATTAAAAGTAACAGTCATTATATTTTTGTCTCTGCCTCAGAAATGTGTATTAGTGAGATATCACAAAGCGTTGTCCAAATAAAACACGCCATCTCTAAACTTACAATAATAAGAGGCATCCATTTGATAACCAAGAGGCAGTCGATAATTTCCCTGGAGCCTGGTACCATTAAGGGAAGGATGGAACATTGGCTGATCAAGTAAATCAGGGAAATAGCCGCTTATAAAACCTTGATCCGCGCCATCTGGATTGTCCATTCCAACCTTCAACTGATAAAGCATGTCCTTGAATACCATTGTTGATGGCTGCAATTCAAAATTTATAAGTAACATTTATGCCATCACAACTAACAACTAACAACTAATAAAATAAATTGGTCGCGCAGAAAACTGACCTGCAATACAAATAGACCAGTGTGGAAGATACAAGGATTGATGAAGACTGCACAAAAATGACCACATTGGAACAGTTCATCTGTTTTCTGAAGGAAGAGGTTGTCAGAATCAAGCATTACAACCCGTTCATAATTTGTTAGGCTCCACGCGTAAAGTTTGTTCAATGTTAGCTTGAATCTCCAGTTAAAATTGGACTGTCCTTTGTATGGATTGTTCAGATTTTCAACTCTCACCACCTTTGCACCATCTTCCTGCTCTCTGCACACCAAGTACATAATGGAATATATTAGTTTTCAGGGTTGAAGGGGAGCCTTGGAGCAACGGTAAGGTTGTCTTCGTGTGACCTATAGATCACGGTTTCAAGACGTGAAATCAGCCATTAATGCGTCCATTAGGGTAGGCTGTCTATATCACAACCTCGGGGATGCGACCCTTCCCCAGATCCTGCGTAAATGCAGGATGTTATGTGCATTGGACTGTCTTTCAGGGTCAACATAGTTCCAATGAAGATTCACATTTCTATTTTGTTGTGATCCAAGCTAATAAAATATCACTAACTTGATTGATAGCATTGTAGAGCTATGACATGTAACAGTCACACGTATATTTACAATATACATAGGAATGTTATTCTGGTCCAAGAGCAATTTTGTCAACTTTTAGGTACTAACATAGAAAATTACATAGCTCTTATTTAGGTTTGTCTAGTCAAATGTTTGTTGGCTTTCAGATGCATCAAATAATCCGTCACATATCAGAAGGTCAGGAAATTGTTGATTATATTAGGATTATGGTCTTCCACGACAACAACATACTCAGTATTATCCCACACTATGGAGTCTGGGGAGGGTAGTGTGTACGCAAACCTTACCCCTTTCTTGTGAGGATAGAGAGGTTGTTTCCAATATACGTTTAATGAGGGTTTTCACATACTCTATATTTAAAATTCATCATGAAAGTGATGAGCTCAATAAAATCCACTCCTAACACTCTAAGTTCGTCTCTAGCATCTGGGCCAGCAACTTGATTATTTTATTAGGTACGTACTTACTATCTCCCATCAGTATATATATCGAGTAATTCTTCATCAAATTTTAAATAGACCTAAGAAAGATTACTAATATTTTTGTTTCAACTGAAATTTGATGACAACTTAGGCTTTTTTAAAGATGAGCAAGGTTTAGCAACCAGTTTATTTCTGAACAAATTTGTTTTTCCGTTTACTTTTCTAGCGTACGTAATCCACACAATTCATTGACGGAGAAGCCCCGATGCCCCGGTGAGGAGTTGTGAGCGGCTGGCGGTGGTTGGCGCGAGTCGAGGCTGAGGGAGGCCCAAGAGGTATTGGGGAGAGGTGATTAGGCAGGACATGGCTAGAATGCGGATTTCCGAGGACATGGCCCTTGATAGGAAAGTCTGGAGGTCTAGTATCAGGGTTGCAGGATAGGGGCGTCTAGAATTTTTCGTACTTCTGTCCCGGGGCTGGGAGGGGGGGTGGGGGGGGGGGTTTGGTAGGGCTCTCCATAGATGATCTGTGTATTGTATTGTGCCCCCTTATGGTAGTTACTGGTCGATATATTTGCATGCCATTTTATTTATGGTTTATGTTTAGATAATTATTTATGTGATTTTTGCTGGAGTTACTAATGCTCTTTTGCTTTTTGTTTTTTGTTTTTATTTTCCTTTTCCTTTTCCTGAGCCGAGGGTCGATTGGAAACAGTCTCTCTGCCCTTTCGGGTAGGGGTAAGGCATGTGTACGTATTACCCTCCCCATATCCCACCTTGTGGGACTATACTGGGTAGTTGTTATTGTTGTCGTTTGTTTGTTTTGTCATTTTCTAAATTGGGTGGCAGAATCAGGAGACACATCATAGCTTATGAGGTGGACATAATCCTTGTTTTTATCCTCAAAACCATCACTTTGCTTTATAAAAAAGATAAAAACTTTTTCTTTGTGCTATTGGCCGGTGGATAATGTCTTTAGCACTTAGAATATTGCATGTCTTTGGTATACACTAATACACCAATGAAAAGGACTAAAAATAATTACACCTCAAATGATAGAATTGGCATGAGCATGATAGCAACAAAAAGGTGGTTCATCTATTATGATAATATATATTTTAATTACTTTTGTTTGAACGTTAAGTACGTAACAAGAGGAATATCTAATTTTAAAATAATAAATCATTTTTGGGTTCCCACTAAGTTCACTTGAATATGACGTCTTAAAGAATTAGCAATAAAGGCGACATTATATAAGTGAAAACACATTATACCTAAAACAAAAATCGACCTGATGATAAATTTAAGTAGCACAAATAATCTATTTTAGACCAAATTAAGGTCAGGAAGCAATTGTATCCGAAAGTGCTCTCTCAAGTTTCAAGTTTTGCTTTTGGGGGCTTTTTACCTTTAGAAAAATACTTAAAAGTGCACAAAAGACGGAAATATCAGGTCTTAAAAGTGGCTATAATTGAAAGAAGTGGCCAAATTGTTGTGAAAAACAAAGAAAAAGGAGCACTTCCTAGAAACAACCAATTCATGCACGTTAATCAAAACTTTGCCGTATGCCACAAAGACTTGTAATTATCACCACCAAAGTCCCTTCTTAATTGTGATAAACTATACTTTTGAAAGCAAAAGTTAGTGAACGTCTTTCTCCCTTTCTTAGAAAAAGTAGCTTGACCTAATTTTTTACTCCTTTTGTTTTGATGACGGAAAATTTTCTAAGTGTCTGTAGCGCATTATTCGAAATTCAACGGATTTTTGGCTCGCCTCTCTACCCTTCTTGAATTTCAAAGTTTTGTCTACGGTAGAATTTAAATTTTATAACGTGTGTTTAATTCACACATCACGTGTTATGCTTTATTACTAAACCAAAAACTCGTATAGCTTGACCTAATTTCTTACGTACTACTTTATGTCCAATGGTTTATCTTTGATTGTCGTGTTAGTTAACACAGCACGATAACATAACAAAAGTTAATATGATATAAACCTAATATTAGTTCTCCCTTCAACAAAAAAAAACTAATATTAGTTCTAATATATTATAGAAATTCTCTTTTCAGAAACGCGTATGTGCTGGCAAAATCAAGAGGGTGATTGCTTAATAATTCCCTAATTAATATGCGACCCCCTCCTTTCACGGAAAACAATTTATTTTCAAAAAAAAATAAAAAATAAGATGAAACAAGAATTGACCAATTCCAACTACATATTTTAAGTTTCTTCCAAGAATCATTAAATTTCCACTACCCATTTGACAAACGTTTAAAATTGCATTACGAAATAATTGACCCTCATTAAAACTCTCCTTCTTTTTGACAACCTGGTCGACATGACGAGATTTATGTGGGCCTTTCATAGTAACCCAATTTGCAAACTCACTACCTATCTGGAAAATTTAATGCTTTAAAAAAACCAAAAAGAAAAAAGAACACAAATAAAGGGAAAAATATAAAATTTTAAACAAGATCGTACTCAAGTAATAGCCTGTTTGGCCAAGCTTGTTTTTGGCCAAAAGTGCTTTTTTTTTTTTGCCCAAAAATTGAGGTGGTTGGCCAAGCTTTTGGAAGAAAAAAAGTGCTTTTGAGGAGAAGCAGAAAAAAGTAGCTTCTCTTCAAAAGCACTTTTTTGAGANGTGTGGAAGAGCACCTGTGAGAAGCGGAAAAACCATCAAAAAACGACGATTGTTCGTGGAGGTTTCTACAGAAAGACCTCTTGGTTCATATATATANAAAGTGCTTTTCAAACTAATTAGCCAAACACAAACTGCTTTTCACCAAAAGTACTTTTGAGAAAAGCACTTTTGAAAAAAAGCACTTCTCAAAATAAGCTTATTTTTGCAGCTTCGCCAAACGGGCTATAAATCAGTAAACTCAGTCTAGTAAAATGTTGTACTGGCCAACACCAAACAGCCTAGATACTTGGATGTCCGGTGACGTTAAAATATATTCTATAACTTTTCTCTAATATTCCGATTACCCTTTTTATAATCCAGAAATCTCCATAGTTAGTGACACAAAATTCAAACCAGGGGTGAAGCTACATTAAGCTTCGTTGAAAAATTACGATGAGTATATAAATAAATATTAGGTTTTAGGTATGTAATATATACCGAACAATTTTTGTCAGAGAATTATTTGTACACTAATTTAAACCCAATCGGCTTTCAACTGCGGCATACTTCTACTGTGCCCATGGGCGAAGCTACACTATGGTAAGGGTGGTCAATTGATCACCCTTCATCGAAAAATTATACTGCGTATATAAATAAAATATTAAGTTTTAGAGGTATATGACATAAATTGAACACCCTTTACGAGGAATTTCTTTTACGTCTTTCAAGTTTGAACACCCTAGAAAGAATATCCGGCTTCGCCATTGACTGTGCCGTAATGTACTCTTAACACTAGACCATCAGCATATCACGCGATGCGTTCTTACTACTAGAGTAAAGCCGTGGACATGCAACTTCTGAGTGAATTTATGTAAAAGAGAAGAATGGAGGATTTTTGAGACTTACAGAGTTTGGACCCAATGAAGAGGAACATCGAGTGAAGCAATGACGACGAGATCAGCGTCAACGCCAAGCCGAGAAAGTGATCGTAGCATGACACGTGTCGCAATGTAAAACTCATAATCTCTTGGTGTTCCCATATACATCATGGTAGCATATGCATTTCTGTGCACCCCTTTACCCTCCGCCGTCGCCGGAACTCCGCCGACCACCGTCGTTAAAGCTATAATCAAAATCCAAAAACCCCATAAAAAGAGTAAATTCAACCTTCGTATCATCTTCCCTACTACCCCTTTATTTTATTTTTTCTCCTTTTTTGGTCCTCACAAAGCTAAAAACCTCAGGAAACTAAAAAAAAGTTAAAAACTTCATAAAAGGAATCTCATTTATTTTCTCCACGTTAGAGTATAAGTTATTGTGCTCCTATCCTTAAAAAAAAGTTAAAAAGTTCGCCGGGGAAACAAGATTCCGGCGACAAGATAGCTAGACGAGAGCACCAGAACAAAATTCTGATCAAAACCAGCAACACCAATCTGAACAAAGTACAAATGAAAATTTTGTGTGTGTATGTTGTTTGTTTATTTTTTGGTGTTTCTCTTGTGTATGGGCTGTGGGAAAAAATAGAAGGAGATTTGAGGGTTTAATTAAGCAGATTGTATCGAAGGAAGGTACGAGGACTATATGGAGATGAAGCGGCATTTTATATTAGTACTACTTGTAGTTTTTTTTTTCGAGCGGCTTTTAATTAAAAATATCTCCCTGTTATTTGACCAACAACTTTTTCTAATTTTTAAAAAAATTTAATACTACTGTGATAATTCTACCTATTTAATGATAGTAAAATAGACATTATCCCAAACTCATATAAAGAAAAAAGAGTTATGCTGGTATGTTTAATTTAAGCTCAATGTACGTTAGGAATTATTTTAGTCTTATTATTTTAAAAATTATGTATATATACCTATGAAGAATATAAAATCTTTTAGTCTTATTATTTTCTCCTTATGTACATTATGACCAATTGGTAATAAAATTCTTTATTTACCAAAAAAAAAAGATTCAGGAGCTAATCGTAATTAGATTGAAATGAAATTTTTGTTGTTGTATGGGCACGCTCTTGTGTTAGAATAAAATAATTTTGAATAGAGCAAAATTAATAAAAAAGATTCATATAATCGAGATTTGATTGATTTACTAAAATTAAAATGTATATGTGACTGCATATGTTGAAGGTGATCTGATCTGTTAGATTTTAATACGTTGACTAGATTAACGGTCGAGCACGAACACTAGTGTATTTGGACTAGCTGATAAAGATACTTTTAATATTTGTTTCAGTAATTGAATTAAATATTTCCTTTTAAGGAAAAATCTAATAAATATATCTTTCCTTCTCTATGTCCAATTAGTTTCAAGATCCATTGGATGGACCAGCCAGTTAGTCAGCTGCAGTTTTTTCCGAACAGAGACCGTGTCTTTCACGCTGTTCTGTCTGAGAAATTATTATTTTTTCAATAGATCATTAAGGTCTGATTTTTTTTTGAACTTCATACATAACTGGAGCTTAGTGCATCGATTATTTGACACCGTCCACAAAGGAACAAATTTTAGTTACAGTACACTAAAGTAAAACAGCCGACTCATGTTTCATCCAATTAAATGCGTAAGTACTGGAGTAGTAACATTTTCTCCTTGTTTTAAAATTGATATTTGAAATTTAAACATGTATTTAAATTTCTTATGTTGAGAGGATTATATAATTTTTGCATTATTTTATGTGGTACAACTTTCCGAAAAAAAGGTGATTCAATTGAATTCCCTTTTTCGCATGTGGCTCCGTCGTATGAGAGCATAAAAACTTTGAATCTTGAAAATTAATATCTTTCCATTAAGTTACGTAATATCTTCAGTTAAATTCATTTAATCTTGTAAATAGAGAAAAAACTTAAGCGCATTTTAGCCCTTTTAAGGATTAAAAAATGGCGTAGCAAATAAAAAGAAATATTGTTATGAAATAATAAAAAGAAGAAGAGTATTGCAGAGAAAAGTTGAGAGAAAGAATTTTATTGATTTGGGATGAATTACAATGGAATAGAACCCTCTATTTATAGGGAGATGATGACTTAGCCACCAAGTAATAAACCCTAGAATCTCTTCTAAATATAGACATTCACCATAAATACAATTCTATTTATAAACATTCCCCTTGAATGTCTATTCAACAGATAATGTGCCTCGTTAAAACCTTAACTAAAATAAAACCCAATGGGAAAAAAAATTCTAGAGAATGAAAAGTACACATATCTAACAATACGCCTTTTGGTTGCCTCGTTAAAAACCTTGCAAGGAAAACCCAGTGGGACAAAATCTTGTAAGGGAAAAAGAGTGCAACGCGCATTAACTCCCCATGATGAGATCATCAATTCACATCCTTGAGCCTTCGCATTCCAATCTTGTGCACCATCTTCAAGAGATCTTTGGTAGAGATTTGATGAACAAATCAGGCATATTAACTTGAATGAATATATTGGCACCTTGATATCATCATTCTGATAGATATAATATGTCTTCATATAATGTCGTGGAATGGCTCTTCAATATCTCCATAGAGATTCTCGCTATCATATTATCATGCTTATAATTATAGCAAGATACATTATATGCACAAATTGCACTGAGGATGTAGTACTTCATGATCAAGAATTGTATATGCTTCGAGCAACTTAAATCTTCATGGATTGCATATAAGCCATATAGTAGACTTTAGATGCATATCAAGTTTTCATGTCATGCAAGACATATAAGATATCGAAAACTGATTGCACATACCATTGACTTTATACTTTCAAGTGTTTGAACTACATGCATGTTCAAAACTACATGTCTTTCATATGAAACTAATTCTATTCGAAATTGTTTCACCAAACTTAAGATCCTCATATATATTTAGCGGTATCATAGATATCGTCGACGAACATTTTATATCGGTTTCAACATTTTTAATAAAGACATAACATAGAGATCTCTTCATTCATTTCAAGTACCTAAACCTCTATTGAGATTTTATGAAGCATTATGTCATGTGATCTTCTAGATCACTCGTCTCCTTTATTATGATTATTTTGATCATTTGCTCATCTTCTTTATCAAGAAGTTTATTTGAAACCAATTTGTCTATATGCTTTAAGCGTACCATAGACTTTGTCCTTCTAGGTAATAGGAGCATTTGCAACGAGAATATAGTTACTTTCTTTGGGTCAGCAAATGCGTTTGGCATGCTTTGCAATATATTGCAAATGAATTATCTTTTTATGAACTTCAAGTTCATATTATCTTATTCGAGGATCGAGATGTATAAATAATAATTCATTCCATGTAACTTTTTCTCAACTGTTTACCATGTCTCCCCCTCATGTTAGAAAAACTAACTTGTTTCCTCAACTTTGAGAACCCATCTTTGTGCGTTATGGTGTTAATCAAAATATACACCGCACATCAATAATAATAAGATGGAATTATTTGGTTCCTGACCATGACCACTTGTGAGGGGAGAAATTAATATACTTTCGTATATAACGTATATCAAACTGGTATATAAAACTTTGTTCTCATAAGTAATTGTTTAGCTATTAAGTGGAGACACTCAATAAATCATTTTGCTAAACCAGCTGTGATGTAGACCAACTTATCAAGATGAACTTCTTGAATAGAAAATCTGGAATATGCTCTAAATTAAATTATTGAGCAAGTTACCTCGCAAACACCATGTTGCGGGTTAATAATAATCGCACATGTAACCATCTCATAGATGCATCTTATGTGGTATACATGGCAGGTGAATGGGCCCATATTTACCTTTGATATTTCCAGCATTCATGGGATTTTAATTGGTTTATTAATTATTGAGAACAAGCAATATAAGAGAATTCGTAAAGAACTTTCTAGTTCTTTAATATTTACCCATGTGAATTCTCTTTTATTTTTGCACATCATACTTGAATTAACATGGCTAAACCAAGTATGCCAACTGGATAAATTATCAATATTGATAAACTTCAGGTTTATATCAATAAATATCCACTTCATTGTGGTATTCTTTTGTTTATGTAGTACAAATTGGAGAATAAAGCGGGTAGCTTTTCACATACATATTACCCCGCTACAAGATGTAGTAATAGAAGATATTAAATCTTTCCTTTATTTATAGTCTCAATATAATCAATCGCTTTCGTGTATACTTTGGAAACTGAATAAGTTTCTTTGAGACTTACTACAACACAATACCTTATTGGTAATTAATTCTGTTTCTCCAAAATAGTATAATTGGCTCTTGCAGAGTTCTCAATTAATTTTGTAGTACCACATATTCATCAACACCCATATGGTGAATATTTCTTTTAAAGAGAAAGTTATACCATTATGGTTATGGTCAAAATTATATGCAAGATCTGTTTCTTGCATTACCGTTGTCTTTTAATAATCACAATGCCAAAATATTTTAGCGTACAATAGGTACGTGACCAATGACCATTCATGCCATAATAATGATATTATTTTCTTATATCATCTCAAACCTCCTTCTAGAGGTGAGTGTGGTATATATCACTAGCACGCTCATATTCTTCCAAAAATGAATATGTATTCTTAAATCAGATGTTGTCACATTCACATCATGAATAGACCATAATCATCTATATGCTTTATAAAGTCTCATGTCAAATCGATGACAAATATTTTCACAAGTGGGGGATTATTTTGAGAATCCTTATTATTCTCATTATCACAATGATAACGATTATAATTTCGTCTATTGCCACGTCCACATCCATTGATACATTCATAGTGATAATTTTGTCTTCTTTCAGACTTATCACATACTGCTATCACATTCTCTTAAGGGAATGAGAATGGAGCAAATTCAATGGGACGGGTTTCCACTTTTTGTGCCCATAATCATACATGAATTTGATCATGGCAAGACATAGAAACTTTTACCACTTCAGGTGGTTATAATTTCTTACAAACTCCATTAGAGTTATAATCAAACTTTGTTGTCTTTGCTTGTATTTAAAATCAAAGTATAGAATAAAAGAGAAAAATATGGTAAAATACTTACCTTAAATCCAGAATTTAATCATGAAGGAAGTTCATGGAATAATTGACAATCATTATGCTCAATCCCAAAGCTTCTACTCAATTGGTTAGAGTGTCGTGCTGATAACGTGTTATGAAACAATAAAAGAAGAAGAAGAGTATTGCAGAGAAAAGTAGAGAGAGAGAGAATTCTTATTGATTTGGGATGAATTACAATGGAATAGAACCCTCTATTTATAGGGAGAGGATGACTTGACCACCAAGTAATAAACCCTAGAATCTCTCTAAATATAGACATTCACCATAAATACAATTCTATTTATAACAATATTAACTAAATAATGGAGCAATGATTTATATATGAAAGCTTATACACAACTTACCACAAACTCACAGCTTAATTAATGGGAGTTGAGCCATGACCAAATTAAATGATAATGATTAACTAATGGGGCAAAGTTGTTCTCCCAATTTTTTTGAAGGCCGACATTATTCGCTACTTCTTCCGATCCATTTTAATTGAGTTTTTGGCTATTTTTACACAAATATTCATCTTTCAATATTAATTAAAAAAAGGC